CTAGCGGCAGCAGGCTGTGCATCATTGGAAAGTCAGATCAGGACGGGATGTGGGATTTTATCGGCTTTTACCTGAGCACCAGTATCACACTGTTTTCCGTTTTGCACTGCCTGCAGCCAAGTGATGTCCGTAAATCGCCGGCCTTCACATTTCGTGACATTTTCCAAGGTAAAAACAGCAGATTTCAGGTTCTTGAAGGGCTGAACCTCCCGACTGCGTATCAGAACTTTCAAACCAGCATCATTCAGAATAATCCTTCCACACTACAAGTTTTATTCTCTCCTGGTTTCAGTTGACCGTGAATTGTTTTAAATATCCGAATACACAAATGTAAGATGATGTACAATCTGCCTTTATTTTCCTGTGAATGATGTGAAGTTACGCTGTATTTTAATTTGAACACCGAGTTTCCCGTTTGTGTACACGTGTAGCTTTGTGGCACTAGTCAGGATTTGGTCCTGATGTGCGGTGCAAAAGTTTTCAGTATTGGTTAATTCAGCCTTGTATATTCAGATGTTTGTGTTTTTCAAACATTTAAAGAAATAGAAACACTTGTCTGTCCCACACAGCCAGTTGTTCAGTTTGCAGTTGTAAAAAAAAAAAAAACAGCAAAATCTTACATTTGAGAATCTGCTAAGTCGGATGTTTTCCGTTTTCTGTCAAAAGTGAGTTAAATAATCGGCCGATTGACTAGTTTTCTGTCTCACTGAACCTTTCTGCATTGTTATAGTTCAACTTAGGATGTTTTAAGATGAACATCCTCAGCATCCAGTTATTTAAACCTATTTCCTGGCTCAGTAATAGTGTTCATTTATTTTTTGAATGTTTGCCAGCAGGGCTAATATGAAGACACCGTTTGGCAAACCAGACCCTGGAAAGCACCTACTATCTTTTCAACTCATTTGAAACTGAAGACAGCACCATGCGTTGTCGCTGGTAAAACCCTCTCCCTCCCCTCCCCCTCTTCCTACCTAGCCATTGAGTGAAGACCCCACGAGCTGCACAGAGATGGTTTCACATCAACCCTGCATGGATACACTAGAGCGAAGACCCCTGCTGGGTGTTGCTTGTACGCAGCAGCGCAGCCGGTGTCTGCGGAAAAAGCTGAGGCCTGTGCGGATCTTAGGGTTTGTCTTCAGCCTAGTGGCAGTAAGTGTCGTCTCCCTCAGTGCCTTGACCTGGAGCTCAGGGCATGTCAGCGAGCTGCTGCTCCCCCAGGAGAGTCTCCACCAGTTGGCCCCCCACCGGACTCTGCTTTCCACCTATCAGCAAAAGGACCCCAATGTTTCATCCAACACGTCAGTAGCATTTAAATCTACAGTAGACGGCAATGAGAGCCAGGGGTCGTACCCCCCAGACTTTTTCACCCAGGACCAGAGGCGCCAAGGAGCAGTGGTCCTCCACATGTTTGGCATGATCTACATGTTCATTGCCTTAGCCATAGTGTGTGATGAGTTCTTCGTCCCAGCCCTCACAGTCATCACAGAGAAGCTGGCCATTTCTGATGACGTAGCAGGTGCCACCTTCATGGCGGCAGGCGGCTCGGCTCCGGAGCTCTTCACCTCCATCATTGGCGTCTTCATCTCGCACAGCAACGTGGGCATCGGGACCATTGTGGGCTCGGCTGTCTTCAATATTCTCTTTGTCATTGGGATGTGTGCCATCTTCTCCAAGGAGATCCTCAACCTTACATGGTGGCCGCTCTTC